GCGTTGTAGTAGGCCTTGCGCAGGCGGCACACGTCCCGCCCCGTCGGGGACTTCCTGCCGTAGTATTTCTGCAAAAATCACAAAAAACCCCAAAAATTGCTTTATTTCCAAGTCCTGTCCTGTTTAGTTCCTGTCTGTGTAAACCTGGGAGGCCTGGTGGCCTCTCCATCTCCCTCATGACTCTGGCCAGCATTGTAGTAGGCCTTGTCAAGCCAGCACACGTCCCACCCCATTGGGGACTTCCTGCCATAGTATTTCTGCAAAAATCACAAAAAAACCCAAAAAGTGCTTTATTTCCAAGTCCTATCCTGTTCAGCTGCTCTCCATGCACACCTGGGAGGCTGGTGGCCGCTCCAACTCCCTCATGACTCTGGCCAGCACTGTAGCAGGCCTTGTGATGCCAGCACACGTCCCGTCAGGGACTTCCTGCCGTAGTATTTCTGCAAAAATCACAAAAAAACCCAAAAAGTGCTTTATTTCCAAGTCTTGTCCTGTTAATTCCTGTCTGTGTACACCTGGGCGGCCTGGTGGCCTCTCCATCTCCCTCCTGACTCTACTCTCATAGTAGTAGTAGGCCTTGCGCAGGCGGCACACGTCCCGCCCCGTCGGGGACTTCCTGCCGTAGTATTTCTGCAAAAATTACAAAAAAACCCAAAAAGTGCTTTATTTCCAAGTCCTGTCCTGTTTAGTTCTTGTCTGTGTACACCTGGGAGGCCTGGTGGCCTCTCCATCTCCCTCATGACTCTGGCCAGCATTGTAGCAGGCCTTGTGAAGCCAGCACACGTCCTGCCCTGTTGGGGACTTCCTGCCATAGTATTTCTGCAAAAATCACAAAAAAACCCCAAAAAGTGCTTTATGTCCAACTCCTGTCCTGTTTAGTTCCTGTCTGGGTACACCTGAGCGGCCTGGTGGCCTCTCCATCTCCCTCATGACTCTGGCCAGCACTGGAGTAGGCGTTGCGCAGCCCAACCTGTTGGGGACTTCCTGACATAGTGTTTCTGCAAAAATTACCAAAAAAAACCCAAAAAAGTGCTTTATTTCCTATTTAGCTCCTGGGAGAGGTTCTCCCTACAGATGCAGCCCCAAACCTGGGGCAGCCTCTCCATCTCCCTCATGACTCTACTCTCATAGTAGTAGTAGGCCTTGCGCAGGCGNGGGGCAGCCTCTCCATCTCCCTCATGACTCTACTCTCATAGTAGTAGTAGGCCTTGCGCAGGCGGCACACGTCCCGCCCTGTCGGGGACTTCCTGCCATAGTATTTCTGCAAAAATCACAAAAAAACCCAAAAAGTGCTTTATTTCCAAGTCCTGTCCTGTTTCATTCCTGTCTGTGTACACCTGGGAGGCCTGGTGGCCTCTCCATCTCCCTCATGACTCTGGCCAGCACTGGACTAGGCCTTGTGCAGCCAGCACACGTCCCGCCCCGTTGGGGACTTCCTGCCGTAGTATTTCTGCAAAAATCACAAAAAAAACCCAAAAAGTGCTTTATTTCCAAGTCCTGTCCTGTTCAGCTGCTCTCCGTGCACACCTGGGAGGCTGGTGGCCTCTCCATCTCCCTCATGACTCTGGCCAGCATTGTAGCAGGCCTTGTGAAGCCAGCACACGTCCTGCACTGTTGGGGACTTCCTGTCGTAGTATTTCTGCAAAAATCACAAAAAAACCCCCAAAAGAAGCTTTATTTCCAAGTCCTATCCTGTTCAGCTGCTCTCCATGCACACCTGGGAGGCTGGTGGCCTCTCCATCTCCCTCATGACTCTGGCCAGCATTGTAGCAGGCCTTGTGAAGCCAGCACATGTCCTGCACTGTTGGGGACTTCCTGCCGTAGTATTTCTGCAAAAATCACAAAAAAACCCAAAAAGTGCTTTGTTTCCAAGTCCTGTCCAGTTTAGTTCCTGTCTGTGTACACCTGGGAGGCCTGGTGGCCTCTCCATCTCCCTCATGACTCTGGCCAGCACTGTAGTAGGCCTTGTGCAGCCAGCACACGTCCCGCCCTGTTGGGGACTTCCTGCCATAGTATTTCTGCAAAAATCATAAAAAAACCCCAAAAGAAGCTTTATTTCCAAGTCCTGTCCTGTTCAGCTGCTCTCCATGCACACCTGGGAGGCTGGTGGCCTCTCCATCTCCCTCATGACTCTGGCCAGCACTGGAGTAGGCCTTGTGATGCCAGCACACGTCCCGTCCCGTCAGGGACTTCCTGCCGTAGTATTTCTGCAAAAATCACAAAAAACCCCAAAAATTGCTTTATTTCCAAGTCCTGTCCTGTTTAGTTCCTGTCTGTGTACACCTGAGCGGCCTGGTGGCCTCTCCATCTCCCTCATGACTCTGGCCAGCACTGGAGTAGGCGTTGCGCAGCCCACCCCGTTGGGGACTTCCTGTCATAGTGTTTCTGCAAAAACTACCAAAAAAACCCCAAAAAGTGCTTTATTTCCTATTTAGCTCCTGGGAGAGGTTCTCCCTACAGATGTAGCCCCAAACCTGGGGCAGCCTCTCCATCTCCCTCATGACTCTAGCCACTGTTGTAGTAGGCCTTGCACATCCGACACACATCCTTCCCGTCGGGGACTTCCTGCTGTAGTATTTCTGCAAAAATCAACAAAAAAACCCCAAAAAGCTTTATTTCCTGTTTAGCTCCTGTCTGTGCACACCTGGGAGGGGTTCTCCCTACAGATGCAGCCCCAAACCTGGGGCAGCCTCTCCATCTCCCTC